TGCCAGGATTGAGGTGTTTGGGATGCCAGGATTGAGGTGTTTGGGATAATGGGGTTTGGGATGCTGGGATTTTGTGCTTGGGAGCTGGGATTGGGGTGCTGGGGATGCCAGGATTGGAGAATTTGGGATAATGGGTTTTGGGATGGTGGGATTTTGTGCTTGGGAGCTGGGATGGGGGTGTTGGGGATACCAGGATTGAGGTGTTTGGGATAATGGGGTTTGGGATGCCGGGATTTTGTGCTTGGGAGCTGGGATTGGGGTGCTGGGGATGCCAGGATTGAGGTGTTTGGGATAATGAGGTTTGGGGTGTTTGGGATGCTGGGATTGGGTGTTGGGCATTTGGGATGCCAGAATGTTGGTGTTTGGGATGCTGGGATATTGGTGTTTGGGATGCTGGGATTTGGGATGCCGGGATGTGGGAGTTTGGGATGCCGGGATGTGGGATGCCGGGATGTGGGAGTTTGGGATGCCGGGATGTGGGAGTTTGGGATGCCGGGATGTGGGAGTTTGGGATGAAGCTGAGCTTCCCTGCTCCAAGCAGTTCCCATTCCCTATCCAGCAGCACATCCAGAGCTGCCCAACTGGACACCAACCCCATCCCTAGAGCGGCTTTGCCCCAGAATTCCGCCAGATCCCAGGAATCAGGTGGAGAGGGACCCATCCAAAGGTCTTTCCACACATCCTCACCCCTTTCCCGCTCTTTTCCAGCCAAATGTTCCGGCCCCATTCCGCCCTCGGACGCAGCTCAGGGATCCTTTGGAAGCACTTCCAGCCTCGATCCAGGCTCCGGATTCCTGATCCCCCCTGGCTCTGGCTGCTCCCAGGGATCCCAACCTGGAGCAATTTCACTACAATTTACACTTCTCAAAAGACCAAATTTAGGAAATATTCCAGGAAAAAATATTTTCAGGACGCGACTTAGGGAATATTTCCCTCGCTGTGGTTTTCCCTTCATCCGTCGGTGGTTTTTATCCATTGTTTTCCTTTATTTCAGGACAGGCAGCTCTGGTGCCTTTTTTTTTTTTATGTATAAATATATATATTTTATATAAAAATCACACAGAGCACTTGATTGTTGAACTGATTGGGGGGGTCTCGGCCAGGATTGGAAAGGATTGGATGGGGATGAAATCCATGAAATCCATCTCTGCAGCACCGAGGGCTCATCGGGCACCGGAATTCCCATCAACAGCCCGAATTCCATGTTCTTTCCCGGCTGCTGTGCCTTGTCCTGCTGTTTGTGGGGAAGGAATCGGAACCATGGATGTGTGACAGTCCAAACCCTCCTGCCATGGAAGTTGGAAGTGCCTTTTTCCCATGGAATGGTCAGAAAACAGCCGGGAGGGAGCACTGGAGGTTCCTGCTCCGACAAATCCAAGCGGGAATTTCTGCCCCCAGGGTGAGCGGAGCAGGGAATGCGCTCCTGGAGTCAAGCCCTTCCAGCAGCTCCCATGGGAATAACAGGATGCATGAGCTTCCTCCAGCTCCGGGCCTGGATCCAAGGGCAGATCCCTTCCAAAACCACTTTCAGTTTTGCTCTTCCGTGGCACAGGCTCTGGAATTGCGGCACAACGGAGCACGATCCACCAGGATTTTCCCAAGAGATGGAATTAAATGCAGCCAAAGCACTTCTTAAGGAAGAGGAAGATGAGGAATTTTTAAGGCTTTTTTTTTTGGTTATAAATGGAGTTTTAGGATTCAAAACTCTCCCCAGTTTGTCTCCGGGTCAATCCAAAGCTGTTCTTCCCTCGTAGTTTGGTCCTGGGAAAAGGGAATCAAGTCTGGGAAAGCCCTTGGCTGCAAGGAAGGGGAATTCGTTCCCTGGGAGGGATTAATGATTTCCTTCCACTGCTGGCCAGGAAAAGTCCATTTCCCAGAAATAGCCTGTTCCTTTGGGAGCTTTCCAGGGTTGCATTTCCTCTTCTTCCAGCGGATCAGAGGGATTTCACCGAGCGCTGACGTCAGGGAGGAGGGAGGGACATCCAGGGAAGTTTGGTCGCTGTGACGGAGGTACACAGGGATAATGCTCCAAAATTAATGCTGATCCAGTTCTTAAAGTGCATATTCTTCGGGATATTCTGCTTCCCAGCTCCTGGAAGGCAAGGCAGGGCTGCAGGGAAGGTCTCCCAGAGCCTACGGGGTTCCTCCGGAGCCGGGCTGGAATCCTGTTCCAATATCCATCCAAATCCCGCTCCAATATCCACCCGATTCCTGAGCTGGGATGCGCCAACAGGCTTTGGGAAGGTGGGAGGGATTCCCTAGAGCTGGCAGGGCTGTTCCTGGAGCGCTGGGAAGGAGGTGAGCGGAGCCAGGGAGCCGAAGCGCTGCCGGCTGCAGGGCTGGCACAGGAATCCCCCGGGATCGCGGCTGCCGTTGCTCTGCGGGAGGGAGAGACGGGAATTTCAGGGAAGAGGGAGCTGCAGGGACACCAGCTCTGCTTCCAACCTCGGCCACGAGCCCCTCCCACCCAGGGACGGGAACGGTGATGTGCGCAAAGCGTGGAAATCCCTGATGGAGTCATGGAATCATTCAGGTTGGAAAGATCTCTCTGAGATAGAGTCCAACATTCCCTGGCATTTCCAAGGCCACCACTGATCCATGTCCCCAAAGTGCCACATCCACGTGGCTGTTAAATTCCTCCAGGGGTGGGGAATCCACCACTGGACAACCCTTTCCATGCAGGAATTTTCCCCGGTATCCCACCTAAACGTCCCCCGGCACAGATCGAGGCCGTTCCCTCTCATCCCGCCCTCGTGTCCCCGTGGATGGATCAGAGTCATCTGTTGTCCCCTGTCCTGGACACGGAGCTTCCCAGATTTTCCACGTGGTCACTCCAGAGCTTGGCCTTCGTGGTACCCTCTGGACAAGGCTCCACCCCAGAGCCAGAGGGTGGGATCAAAGGCAAACCTGGACCCCAAAATCTGACTGTCCCTGGGGCGAGGGGTGCTCTGCCAATCCCATGGGATGCTCCATGGGCTCAGCAGGGGTTCCAACACTCAGTTGTGGGATCTGGCACAAATTGGTTCCACCTGAGACCACAAAAAGTCTCAGATAAGAAATCTGGGAACTAAATGGATCCGTGGGAAGCGCAACACCACCCGGAATCCCCCCGGGAAGTCACGAGGATGGGGAGCTGTGGGGGGGTTGAGATCCCGGCTCAGAACAGGGACTGGAGGCTCCCAATCCCAAAATCCCAGGGAAAAGACGTACGTGAGTCAACGGGAGCTTCCTCACAACCAGCCTGGAGTTGGAATCCAACGTGTTTGGGCATCCTGACACGCAGCAAGCGCGGGATGCTCCGGCCTTGGCAGCCTCACTCATCAGCTCCACCCGAAGGAATCGCTCCTAAAAAACAAGGAAAAAGGGGAATAACATCCCTCAGAGGGAGCTGAGATGCTGGAAGAGGTTGTTCTCTTATTTTTTTTTTAATCCCTTGGAAATGACTTGCAACAGGATGGGCTTTAAAAAAAAAAAACAAATCAAAATCCCAAATTCCTGGTGATAAAAAAAGTCAAGGAGGAAGGAAATGGGAAAGGAGGAAGAGTTGGCAGTTCTGCAGACAGGGAAAAGGGAATCTCGGAGGGAAGAACTCGGGATCTGTGGAAAACAACACCCAAATGCAAGAACTGTGGGGGGGAAAAAAACCTGCTGCAATCTCGTGTTTTCCCGCTGGAATCACGGCACGGAGCAGCAAAACGCGGGAAAAACATGACCTCAGGTAGTGCCAGCACAGATCCACCTGAAACTTGGGATCAGGGGGATGATCCTTAGGGGCAAGTATCCTGAATAACCCCACTGAAGGGGTTTTCCTGCCTTGGGAAGGGTTTCACTTACCCCAGCCAGGGCCAGGAGGTGTTCCAGGGATTTGGAGAGCAGGAGGCACTTCTTGGCCCGGGTCACAGCGACGTAGAGCAGGTTCCACTCGTCCTCCGGGACGGTGCCTGGCACGGAGCAGACACGATCCATGGATTTAGGGAGCAAGGAGGAACAGCCCTGCCCTCCTTCCAAGGCTTCGTCCAGGTTGGACAAGGCTTGGAGCAACCCGGGATAGTGGGAGGTTTTCCCTGCCCACGGCAGAGGGTGGGATGGGATGGGATGGGCTTTAAGGTCTTCCCAACCCAAACCATTCCAGCGTTTCTCTGGGAAAGTGGGAATGTGCAGGCCCTGTTTGCTGTGCGGGTCCTGACGCCATCCAAGCTCCTGCCTCGTTCCACATTCCTCCCTCTGGGCACAGGCAGGGCTCCACCACTCCCAGCTCCATGTTTTCCTGCCTGTGGAGCACTGGGGGAGTTTCCCAGGGCCTGGATTCCCTCTGCTCCCCAGGGAGAGCCCAGCTCCTCCAAAAATCAGGAATCTAAGGAAAGCAGAGGTCTTGCCAAGCCTGGAATTGGTCTTTCCCTGTTGCTACATGGTGACAGTTGCAGGAATATTCATGGAATCAGAGAATCCTTAAGGTTGGAAAAGGCCTTTAAGACCATTGATTCCGAGCATTCCCAGCTCTGCCAAGGACACCACTGACCACGTCCCCAAGGGCCACTTCCACAGGGGTTTGAAATCCCTCCAGGGATGGGGACTCCACCACCTCCTTGGGCAGCCCCTGCCAAGGCCTGAGCACCCTTTCCATGAGGAAATCTTCCCTGATATCCAACCTGTCCTGCAGGTCCCACAACTTCTTCTGGAATCAGGGAATCTCTGGGGTTGGAAAAGCCCTCTGAGATCATCAGGTCAAACAATCCCCAGCAGTGCCAAGGCCACCACTGACCCATGTCCCCAAGTGCCACATCCACAGGGATTTAAAACTCCTCCAGGGATGGGGACTCCAGGCTGTTCCAAGGCCTGAGCCCCCTTTCCATGGAGAAATTCCTCCTCATCCCCAACCTGACCCTCCCCTGGCCCAGCTTGAGGCCGTTTCCCCTTGGCCTGTCCCTTGTTCCCTGGCAGCAGAGCCCGACCCCCCCCGGCTCCCCCCTCCTGTCAGGGACTTGCAGAGCCAGAAGGTCCCCCCCGATCCCCCTTTTCTCCAGGCTGAGCCCCCTCCCAGCTCCCTCAGGAGTTCTTCAGCCCCTTCCCAGCTCCCTTCCCTTCCCTGCTTTCCCAGGAGCCGTTCCCATACCAATGGCCAGGTTGGTTCTCCTCTGGGAAGCGTCGCTCCCACACGGGGCCTTCACGAAATCATCGGCCACCAGCACGGTGTCGAATTCCAGCCCTTTGGCTTGGTGGACAGTGCCTATGAGATAATCTGGATCCACGTGGGAACACAGGAAGGAAAAAAAAGAAGGAATAAAGATCAGCCACGGTGGCAAAAAGGGCGGGTTTGGAATTTCATCTCATTCTCCATGAATTTTAATTTCTCCCTGAATATAAATCAGGAGCTCTTCTGTCGGGAATCCTGAGGGCTGAAGGGACTTGCCAGCCCCGATTTCCAACTGGGAATGTTCTTTGTTTGAGGAATTTTCGACCCGATTGCTTCGTCCCCTCCCCACGTTTCAGTCAGGGCAAGTGAAATATCCATGGAATCATAAAACCATGGAATGGTTTGGGTTGAAGGGACCTTGAAGTCTGCACAGTTCCAACCCATGGACACCTCCCACTATCCCAGGTTGCTCCAACCTGGCCTTGGACACTTCCAGGGATCCAGGGGCAGCCACAGCTTCTCTGGGAAATCCATTCCAGCCCCTCCCCACCCTCCCAGCCAGCAATTCCTTCCCAATATCCCATCTCTCCCTGCCCTCTGGCACTGGGAAGCCATTCCCTGTGTCCTGTCCCTCCAGGCCTTGTCCCCAGTCCCTCTCCAGCTCTCCTGGAGCCCCTTTAGGCCCTGCAAGGGGCTCTCAGCTCTCCCTGGATCCTTCCCTTCTCCAGGTGAACATTCCCAGCTCTCCCAGCCTGGCTCCAGCCCTAAAGCTCCTGTTCAACCTCCCTTTTCCCTAAAAGTCCAACTCAATCCAAACTCAGCCTTTTTTCCAGGATCAGTTGGATTCAGGACTGAAAGAAGACCCGGATCTGCCCCTTTGTCCCTGGATTTACCCGCCAGGGATTCCTGGGACACGTGGGATCTCTCGATCCTCTGCACCAGCTCCGGGATCCGCTCCCTGTATTTCTCCACGATGGAAATCTTCACTGCCAGGTCTCTGTCATCCACGTGCTCGGCATATTCCTTCAATCCAAAGAACCCCGAAGTGCCTTCCCATTTTTGGATAAAGGAATCGTTTATCACGAGGTTTGCTGGAAGGAAAGGTGACAGGAGTTTAGTTTATTTATTTTAAATCAGAATTAAAAATTAATTAAAATAAGTATTATTACATTATATACTTTATATTATTATTTATCATTATTTATTATAATTTATTTATTATTATATTATATAGTTTACTTCATTTATATTAAATTCAAATTAAAAATTAATTAAAATAAGTATTATTACATTATATAATTTATATTATTATTTATCATTATTCATTATTATTTATTTATTATTATATTATACAGTTTGCTTCATTTATATTAAATTAGAATTAAAATTTAATTAAAATAAGTGTTATTACATTATATAATTTATATTATTATTTATCATTATTTATTATTATTTATTATTATATTAGTTTACTTCATTTATATTAATTAGAATTAAAATTTAATTATAAGTATCATAATTCTTACAATAGTATTAATATATTGTATTATTATATATAAATGTATTATCATATTACAATACATTATTATATATAATATGTATGTGTCAAATTATACAATAATATATACAATACAATAATGTTATTTTAATTATAACAATATGTTTATGTTATATGTGTATATTATATATAAAAGTATTATCTTATATATTAGAAAATAAATATAATGTAATATAAAGAGTATATTATTTATATGTTTGTGTTATTACTTTTATTTTAATTAAATTTGAATAATAATAGATATTTGTTTTTGTTGCATTATTAATAATATACCAATAATATATTAATAATATATCAATAATATGTTAATGATATATTAATAATATATTTAAATTTATATCAATATATTATACTACTAATAATATAATATTAATATATAACAATATTTCAATATATGAATTATCAATATATAGGAGTATATAGTGTTAATATTTCTAACTATAAACAATAAAAATACATTGTCTACCTTATATATTATAAATGTATATTATAAATTATATATTAATAGATTAATTATATAAATAATTACTAATATTAATATAAATCATATTAAGAATACTAGTAATTAATATTATAATATTATATTAATTATATATTATAGTATATATCATTATACTTATAAATATTAATTTTAGTAATTAATATCAATATTATATCATATAATTAATATATAATATTAATAAAATTATAACATTACTACTACTACTACTAATTTAATTATAATTAAAGGCTTAAGTGTGACTTCTGGGCACAAATCCCTCTTCCATCCTCCATAAATCCCACTTGTTATCCCGATGCCAGGGAGTTTTCCTGACACCTCACCTCCCAAAAACCCTGGAACAACATCCCTATAATCCATCAACAAATCCTTTGTTTTCCTTGTTTTTCCTTTGATTCCTGCTGCCAAAAGGCTGCAAAGGAGGGATTTTTATCCTAAATTTTATCCACCAGGGAAAAGAAAGCCAGATTTAAAAAACCCAAAAGAAAAGAGGGGGAAGCTTAAGGCAAAATAAAAACCATCTAAAAATCAGGAAAAATAGGGAAAAACATCCCAAACTCGGGGTTTCCTGGGATAAGTTTCCAGCTAAGTGGAAATCCGGGGAGGGATCCCAGACACAGACCCCAAAATTTTGGCATTTTTGGTCATAAGAAATGAAGATCCTAAAGCTGCCAAAAATAGCTCGGATAGGAGTTAAAAAAAAAATTTAAAAAATCATTTTTTTCCCTGAGAATTCCATGAGGAAACGGAAAAGGAACCAGGAAAAAGGGGCAAGGACAATACTCACATTTTTCCCTGACTTCTGCAGGTTGACTGAGCTTCCAAATATCATAAATCCTGCTCAGGCCAAAACGAGCCAAGCCCTAAAACAACCAAAAAAATGGAGCTTTTTCATTATTATTTTATTATTATTTTATTATATTTTAATATCCCAAAATAAAAGCGGCTCTTCCAGGGAAAATAAAGTGGGAAAAAAAATTGCAGTTTCAACATAAATTGACCCAAAAAGCTCTTTTTTTTTGGAGAGCATTTTTTACTTTCCAAAAGTATTTTTTCGCCCCATCATTTCTAAATCCTCTTTGGTTTGTTCCACCCAAAGGAAAATCAGGATAAATTAAATATATCCCAGATTTATCGGGATAAATCAGATTTATCCCAAATTTTTATTTGGTACTGGGCAGCCACCGCTTCAAAGGCTTATTTCATTTTAATTTTGGTGGTGAAAAATTTGGAATATCGGCCTAAAAATTCCAAAGATCGGCTCAAAGAATTCCTCGGCTTTGAGCTCCTCCAATTCCGGCTGCAAAATTCCCAAATTAAAGGAGGTTTTTCCCTATTCCGTGAGATTTTATTGGCGATTCAGAGCTCGAAGCCCAGTGATTCCCGAGGCTTTGGAATGTGGAGCAGGGTTAAAACCCTCCTGGAATTCCAGCCCAGGGATTCCTGCAGGTGTGGGTGGACGTATTCTCCTCCGGCTCCACTTTTTTGGGAATGAAAATCCAGGGAAATCCCGGGGCTGTTGCTCCCTCAAGGGGTTGATGTCCAGCACTGCGGAAAATCCCGATTTCCCTCCCCAAAAAGGTCCCAATTTTCCCTGGATTTCCCAGGTGGATCGAGCCAGGGATCAAAGCCCCACAGGGCTGGGAATCCACGATGATCCCGGCACATTCCAAGGTCGCTTCCAGCTTCAAACACTGTCGTTGCCTCCCAAGAAAACGTGGAAAATGGTTATTCTTTCCCTGTTTTTACACTCGATTCCGGCTGATTTTTAATTCCAAAGGCGCCAGAACCGCTCCAGCTCTTCCAAATACTTCCAGCCACTTGTTCCACCCCTCTTTTCCCGCCCCATCCCACCTAAGCCGGATAAAACCAGGATAAATCAGCCTAAAAACGGGATTTGAGGATAAAACGGTTCCAAATCACTTCCCGGTCGCACCAGATTCCCGCTTTTTGATGGAATATCAATTCCAAAGGCAGGAATTGGCCGTGGTCGTTCCCACCTACCCCGATGACGTGGATTGGGATGGGTCTGTCCCTCCCGGTGAGTTTGACGGCGTCGTCGAAAACGCTGGAATTGCTGCGGGAAAGGACCGTGATCTTCCCTTCCAGGGAGCCCCGGACGGCGCCTGCACGGACACATTCCCAGGGATCCCGGGAGTCAGGATCCGGATCCAAGGAATTCCACGGATCAGAGTTATTTGTTTAGTTATTTCTCCTTTATGGGTCGTGTTTATCTTCAGTTTGATAAATTTAATTGATTTATGGATTTGTTAACATATTTAACATGGTTTTGTAGATGAAAGGTATTATATTTCTTCTTATTATTATATTATATTATTAATAGAAATATATATTGATATATTTAATATACATTTAATTATGTTATCTGTTTATTAGCTTGATAAATTTAACCAACTTTTTCACATTAAATCCTAAAGTTCATTTAGAAAATGAAAATTGAATAAAACAGAATTCAAGGAAAATAGAATTTAAGGAAAAAAGAATTTAAAGAAAATAAAATTTAAAGAATAAAATAAAATTCAAATAAAATAAAATGTGAATAAAATAAAATGTAAAGAAAAAAGAGATTAAAAAAATAAAATTTAAATAAAATAAAATTTAAATAAAAGACATGTAAATAAAAAAGAATTTAAAATAGAATTTAAATAAAATAGAATGTAAAAAAATAAAATTTAAATAAAATAAAATTTAAACAAAATAATATTTAAATAAAATTTATTCATAAAATAAAATCTATTAATTCAACTATTAATATTATTAACGTAATTAGTTTATTTTATAAATTAAATTATTAACTAATTATTAACAACTAGTTATTTATATACAATTACTATATCATATTTTATGAATAATAACTATATATTAATTATTAACTATGCTAAACTCAAATGTAATTTCAAATTTCACTTTGAAATGAAATGTAATGAATTTAATGTAATCGATTATGAATTATTAGTAACTTTATTATACACTATTTATTACAAACATTTACTCCTAATTTAATTTTATAAATTAATTATTAACTTATAAATTAATTGAATTTTACAAATTCAATTACCTTTTTAAATGTTGAACTTAAAGAGTAAACTTGAATTTACATTTTATAATCGAATTCTATTAATTTAATTTATTAAAATTGATATTAATTATTTATGTTATTAGTTAATAAAATGGATTAATTATTAGTTAATAAAATGGATTAATTATTAGTTAATAAAATGGATTAATTATTAATTAATAAAATGTATTAATTACTTAATTAAGCTCAATTTATGGTCCTGAGCTGAGAGAGCACAACTCACCCTTTTGGTTCCCACCCACCAACGTCTTATTCCGGATCCCTTTGCAAACATCCAGGATTGTTGCTCCAACATAAGCAATTTCGGGACCAAATCGGAAACTCTGCGTGGAAAAAATCCAGGAAAAGATGAGGAATTGGTCAGAACCTACAAAAGTATTGCTATGTATGGAATTTTCCTAGAAATCCTGGTCATTCCTAAACTCAAGTGACACCATTCCCATCAAACCATTCCTTGAAATCCAGGTCAGTTCTTAATCCCAAATTATACAATTCCCACCAAGCTATTCCTAGAAAATCTGGACATTCCTAAACCTACATTATACAATTCCCACCAACCTTCTGGACAACTTTTCTCTTGGAAAAACACCCAAATCCCCCCAGTCTATTCCTAGAAATCCTGGTCATTCCAATACACAAATTATACAATTCCCATCAAACCATTCCTTGAAATCCCGGTCATTCCTAAACCCAAATGACACCATTCCCATCAAACCATTCCTTGAAATCCTGGTCAATTCTTAAACCCATCTCATACAATTCCCACCAAACCATTCCTTGAAAATCTGGTCATTCCTAAACCCAACTGATACAACTCCCACCAACCTTCTGGAAAATTTTCTCTTGGAAAAACACCCAAATACCTCCAGACTATTCCTAGAAATCCTGGTCATTCCAACACACAAATTATACAATTTTCATGAAACCATTCCTTGAAATCTTGGTCATTCCTAAACCCAAATTATACAAATTCCCATCAAACCATTCCTTGAATTCCTGGTCATTCCTAAACCCAAATGATACAATTCCCATCAAACCATTCCTTGAAATCCAGGTCATTCCTAAACCCAAATGACACCATTCCCATCAAACCATTCCTAGAAAATCTGGTCATTCCTAAACCCAACTGATACAATTCCCACCAACCTTCTGGAAAAGTTTTCTCTTGGAAAAACATCCAAATACCTCCAGACTATTCCTAGAAATCCTGGTCATTCCTAAACCTAAATTATACAATTCCCATCAATCCTCCTGGATAACTTTTCTCTTGGAAAAGCACTCAAATCCCCCCAAATCTATTCCTAGAAATCCTGGTCAATCCTAAACCTACATGATAAAATTCCCATCAACCTTCTGGACAACTTTTCTCTTGGAAATACACCCAAATCCCCCCAGTCTATTCCTTGAATCCCTGGTCATTCCTAAACACAAATTATACAATTCCCATAAAAACATTTATACAATTCCCATCAAACCATTCCTTGAAATCCCAGTCAGTTCTTAAACCCAAATTATACAATTCCCATCAAGTTATTCCTAGAAAATCTGGTCATTCCTAAACTCAACTGATACAATTCCCACCAACCTTCTGGACAAGTTTTCTCCTGGAAAAACACCCAAATACCTCCTGACTATTCCTAGAAATCCTGGTCATTCCTAAACCTACATAGTTTGGGGGGATTTGGGTGTTTTTCCAGGAGAAAAGTTGTCCAGGAGGTTGGTGGGAATTGTAGAACTTGGGTTCAAGAACAATCAGGGTTTCAAGGAATAGTTTGGTGGGAATCGTTTGGGAATGACCGGGATTTCTAGGAAGAGATTTGTGGGATTTGGGTGCTTTTTCCAGGAGAACAGTTGTCCAGGAGGTCAGCGGGAATTGGGTTCCAGAACAACCAGGATTTCTAAGAATAGTTTGGTGGGAGTGGTTTGGGAATGACCAGGATTTCCAAGAACAGTTTGGTGGGAATTGTTTGGGAATGACCAGGATTTCTAGGGATACTTTTGAGTCATTTTGGTGCTTTCTCCAAGAGAATAGTTGTCCAGGAGGTGGGTGGGAATTGGGTTCAAGAACAACCAGGATTTCTAGGAACAGTTTGGTGGGAACTGTTTGGGAATGACCAGGATTTCTAGGAACAGTTTGGTGGGAATTGTTTGGGAATGACCAGGATTTCTAGGAACAGTTTGGTGGGAATTGTTTGTGAATGACCAGGATTTCCAGGAACAGTTTGGTGGGAATTGTTTGTGAATGACCAGGATTTCCAAGAACAGTTTGGTGGGAACTGTTTGGGAACAACCAGGATTTCTAGGAAGAGTTTGGTGGGAATTGTTTGGGAATGACCAGGATTTCCAAGAACAGTTTGGTGGGAACTGTTTGGGAACAACCAGGATTTCTAGGAAGAGTTTGGTGGGAATTGTTTGTGAATGACCAGGATTTCAAAGAACAGTTTGGGAACAACCAGGATTTTTAGGAACAGTTTGGTGGGAGTGGTTTGGCACCGACCAGGATTTCCAGGAACAGTCTGGCGGGAACCGTTTGGCCCCACGGATTGTTCGCCGTCGGACACCATCCTCAAAAGGCCACGGGGTGTTTCCCCCTGGATTTGGGCTGCATCCCTGGATTTGGGCTGCATCCCTGGAATCCCAGTCCCTACCTGGGTCAGGTAGTAGACGTGGGTGTGGGGCACGGCGTGCAGGGTGTTGACGGCGCCGCGGAAGGTGTAGATCTGCTGGTGAGGGTCTCCCACCAGGATGATCCCACACGTCTGGGACAGCACCACGTCCACGATGGCTGCGGGAAAACACCGGGAACATCACGGAGCAGCCACGGAGCAGCCTCGTTGCCAACCAAGCCTAAGCAAGTCAGAGCTCGGGCCTAACCTTACACCCGGGTTTAAGTTGAACTGGAAAACCCTCTGGGAATGCCGGAGCTCTGGGAATGCCGGAGCTCTGGGAACGCCGGAGCTCTGGGAATGCTGGAGCTCCGGGAATGCCGGAGCTCCGCTCACCTGGAGTGCAATCCTGGGCTTCGTCCACAAAAACGGCGTCGTATCCCGACAGCTTGGGCTTGCTGAGCTGCCAGAGCTTCAGGTATCCTGAGGGGAAAAAACCAGGGATGGCAGGGAAAAGGGAATTTTCCTCAGCAGAAACCCCCATGATTCTCAAAATAAAGCCCTTTTTTTTTTCTTTTTTTTTTTTTATGTTTCTGGCCCTTAAAATAAATCCCCTTTTTTTGTTTTTTTTTTTTTTTTTTTTCTTTTTTTAAAAGATTTCTGGCTCTTAAAATAAATGTCATTTTCCATTTTTTTCTCTTTTAATTTTTTGGGTTTTTTCCGTTTTCATTTTTTGTTTTTTTTTTTTTTTTTCATGTTTCTGGCCCTTAAAATAAAACCTTTTTTTTCCCTTTTTTTTTGGTCTTCTTTTTTCTTTTTTTTTCCATGTTTCTGACCCTTAAAATAAATCCCTTTTCCTCCTTTTTTTTGTTTTCTTTTTTCTTTTTTTTTCACGTTTCTGGCCCTTAAAATAAAACCTTTTTTTTCCCTTTTTTTTTGTTTTCTTTTTTGGGTTTTTTTCACGTTTCTGACCCTTAAAATAAATCCTTTTTTCCTTTTTTTTTGTTTTCTTTTTTTCTTTTTTTTTTCACATTTCTGGCCCTTAAAATAAATCCCTTTTTCCTTTTCTTTTTCAACTTCCAGCTGATTTCTGGACCTCAAAATAGAATATCTTTCCAACCTGCACGTATTTGTGATGGAATACCTTTAAAATCTCCCCATATTTGTCCTGGTGGAAGTGAAAATTCGTCCGTTTTATAAAATTTTACGGATAAAAAATCCAGAGTGATATTCCCTGCTGAGCCAGGGGCAGGAGAAAAGGGATTTTTTTAACCCTTTTTGATGCTCAGCCAGAAGTAGGAAACATAAATCCACTTATTTTCCCACCCCAGTTCTTTGTATTATATTCTTTATAATACAAGAATTTATATTTTTCTTCTCTTTTACCATCACAAGTCATCTTGTATCTCTTCTCCACGTCCCCATCCAGCTTTTTCATGTTGTGCCATATTTCTTTGGCCTCTTCCACGTTGATCTGCAGAGGGAAAACACACAAGGATAACTTGGATAAATTGCTCTGAGCTGACAAATATTCCAAACACGGGAGATTTTCTCTGAAGACTTTTGAGGTTTTGATCTAAAATTACCCAAAAATATGCTTATTTTCTTTATATTTTTACATATATACATATAATTATTTTATATATGTAAAATAAATACGTAGAAATATGTAAAAATATAAATAATAAATAAAATATAAATACAAATACCATATATAAATATTATATATAAATATAAATCTATAATAATATATAATATTATAAAACACAGTGTAATATATAATACATATAATATGTAATATAACATATAATATAAAGACATAAAATATATAAAACATACATTATATAATATATAATATTAATATAACATAATAATATAGAAATATATAATGTAATATATAAATATAAATAATAAATAAGAATAAATTTAAATATAAATATATATATCACTGTTCAGGCACTGGTATAAATATAACATTAATATTTTGTTTATTTATATTGTATTTATTCATCATATTGAATATATTTTTATTTGCTTATAAAATCTTAATATAA